CCCGCCCGCCCGCGGGGGGTTCTCGGCCCCCCAGCCCCTCTCACCGCCCGTCTCCGGCAGGGCGTCTCGTCCAACGTGCTGGAGGAATCGGCCGTCTCGGACGACGTGCTGGCCCCGGACGAGGAGGGGATCTGCTCCGGGAAGTTCTTCACCGAGCTGGGGCTGGTGGGGCTGCTGGAGCAGGCGGCCGCCGCCTTCACCCTGGTGAGCGCCCGGGGAACGGCCCTACTGCCGCTGCCGGCCGAGGGAGGGAGCCTGGAACGGGGGGGTGGGGGTGTCTGGGCCTGGGGGAGCCGGGCAGGGGGCAGACTGGGCTCTATGGTCCCTGCCTCCTTTGTTCACGTGGCTGGGGGGCTGCGACCCCCGTCTGACCCCCCCCCCCAGGGCGGGCTGTACGAGGCGGTGAACGAAGTCTACAAGATCCTCATCCCCATCTACGAGGCCAACCGGGAGTTCAAGAAGCTGGCGGCTCTGCACGGCAAACTGCAGGACGCCTTCGGCAAGATCAGCAGCCAGGTGAGCGCCCGCCGCGGGCACGGCCGGGGCCCCGCAGCCTCCGGAGCGGCTCCAGGGGGCAGTGCTGGGACCCACAGCCAGGACTCCTGGGTTCTCTCCCCGGCTCTGGGAGGGGAGTGGAGTCGTGTGGTTAGAGTAGTGGGGACTGGGAGCCTGGACTCCTGGGTTCTCTCCCTGGCTCTGGGAAGGGAGTGGGGCTGGTGGGTTAGAGTAGTGGGGACTGGGAGCCCGGACTCCTGGGTTCTCTCCCCGGCTCTGGGAGGGGAGTGGAGTCGTGTGGTTAGAGTAGTGGGGACTGGGAGCCCGGACTCCTGGGTTCTCTCCCTGGCTCTGGGAAAGGAGTGGGGCTGGTGGGTTAGAGTAGTGGGGACTGGGAGCCCGGACTCCTGAGTTCTCTCCCCGGCTCGGAGAGGGGAGGGGGGTCGTGTGGTTAGAGCGGGGGGGGGCTGGGAGCCAGGACTCCTGGGTTTTCTCCCTGGCTCTGCCACTGTCTCCCTGCATCCCTGGGCAGGTCCCTTCCTCTCTGTGCCTCAGTTTCCCCCTCTGCACCATGGAGTGATTTCTATTAGCCTGAGGGGGGCCCCTTGGCCGCTCGGCTGAGGCAGTGTGGGGGCATGGTCCCTTGGTGACAGCGCCCCCTTGTGGCAGAGATGTGCATTGCAGGGGAGCGGACCCCAGCCTCCCACTGAAGGCGGAAGGGGGGGTGCCCAACTGGCTGCAGTGGGGAGCTGCCCCTGGGATGCCCCGGTTCTCCGGGGTGGGGGGGGCAGTGTTTTCCCATCGGTCAGGCCTCACCCCCGAGCCCTGTCTGCAGCGTCCGGGGGGGGTCGGGGTGTGATGCAGGCGCGGCCCCGATCCTGCGCTGCGGGGGGGGTCCCGACGGCAATTGACGTGCTCTCTCTCCTGCTCTCTCCCCCCCTGCGCCCGTCCTGTCAGAGCGCTGGCTGGGAGGTAGGACACGCGTGTGTGTGTATGTGTGCGTGCCCCCGCTCCCCCCAGCCCGGTGTGTGCAGCACCCTCACAGTCCCCGTCCCCCCCGTTGCCTCCCCCCCCGCATGGTCCGGGCTGCCTGGCGGAATGGTCTGTTTCTAACTCTGCCTAGCTTGGGAAGTGGGGTCTAGTGGTTAGAACGCGGGGTGGGGGGCTGGGAGCCAGGACTCCTGGGTTCTCTCCCCGGCTCTGGGAGGGGAGTGGGGGCTGGTGGGTTAGAACAGGGGGGCTGGGAGCCAGGACTCCTGGGTTCTCTCCCTGGCTCGGGGATTGGGGCGGAGTCTAGTGGTTAGTGGTGCGAGTGAGCGCGGCCGTGGGCGGTTGTCCTGGGTGTGATGAGTTACCAGGGCTCGGCTGGTCCCTGCTTGGCGCCTGGTTCCAGGCTGGGGGGCCGGGTAGCCCTGGCTGGGAAGAGCTGTGGGCCAGGGCAGGAAATCCCCAAAGGAGGTGGGGGTGCAGCCCCACCAACCCCCCCGCCCCAGTGTGCCCAGGGCGACCCCCAGCTGTGACCCCGGTGACCTTTCACCTCTGAACGGGGGGTCAAAGTGGAAGTGACTGGGGGTGGCAGCGCCCGGGGGGGGCCACATGGTTGCAAGGGGGGTGGCGATCTGTCCTGGGCCCCCCCCAGCGCCACGCCAGGAGCCCCCTGCTGCCCCCTGCTAACCTGCTGCCTCTCGTCTTCTCTCCCCGGCCGCCGGTCCTGCCCGTGCTGCTCCTCCTGCCTCGACGCTGCGGTAAGTCGCTCCCCTGGGGCGTCCCGCTGATCTGGGGGGGCTCCCTGGGCCGTGTCCTCCAAGCTGGGGCAACCTCCCTGCCAGGCCCGGGGGGAGGAGGATACCGAGGGAGAGAGGAGGGGGGGTTCTGGGGGCAGGAGAGTGCTGGAGGATGGGGGGGAGCGTCTGTGGGGGGGTGCGGCCGTGGCAGCCGAGTGCCTGGGTAGGAGCTGGGGGAGCCGCTCCCTGGCACCCCCCCAGCCTGGCAGTTTCTGGGTCCAGCCTTGGAACCTCGTGCCCATGAACGTGGGCTTAAGACCCGGCATGTGGGCAAGGCCGCGGGTTTCCCTGCTGTGCCCGGCCCCGCCAGCCTGGACGGCTCCCCGCAGGGTCAGAGACCAGCGCCTGGGTCCTGGCTGAGAGGGAAGGGATGGGGGGGCTCCTGAGTTCTCTTCCCAGCTCTGGGTGGGGTCTAACCACTAGCCCCCACTTCCCCTCCCAGCGCTGGGGAGAGAACCCAGGCGTCCTGCTGTAACCATTAGGCCCCCCTGCAGCGCCCCCCCCCATCCCCAACCGGGAGCCCAGAGTGTCACCCCCCCACCCCGTCAGTCTGGTCCCAGGGTTCCCCTAAGGCAGCACCGTGGCTGCTCCCCCCCCACCTCCCCGGCAGCCCCCTGGCTATCGGCCTCCCGGCTCGGCCTGCCACAGCTCACCGGCCCCGTGCCGCAGCGCGGCTGGGAGCTGCCTGGCATCGGGGCTGCGTGCCAGGTCCGGGACGGGTCTCACTGGGCAGGGGTGGGGGTAGCAGGCCCCAGGAGATGCTGGGGGATGGGAGACCCCCAAAGGAAACTTCAGGGAGTGGGGCAGGGGGCTCAGATGGGGTCACTGCCCCCAGCAGTCAGTGCCGGGCGCCGTGCTGCAGGGGGCTCAGTAGGGGGCGCTGTGCTGCAGGGCCGGGGGGCTCAGTAGGGGGCGCTCGTGCCGGACACATGGGGGCGCTGTGCTGCAGGGCCGGGAGGCTCAGTAGGGGGCGCTCTCTCCTGCCCCCAAGCTCTTGCTGTATCCAGCTGTCACGCTGCACCCCAGAGGTGGCTGCACTTAGGGGAGGGCCGAGCCCATGAGGTGCTTGTGGCCGCCGCCTCTTGGCCTCCCCCCGGGCCCTGCCCGTCCAGGCTCACCGGCCCCGCTCTGCCCCAGGCCCCAGCGCATGTTCGGGACGTATTTCCGGGTCGGGTTTTACGGCAGCAAGTTTGGGGACCTGGACGAGCAGGAGTTCGTGTATAAAGAACCGTCCATCACCAAGCTGGCCGAGATCTCCCACCGGCTGGAGGTGAGGCGGGGGCGGGGGGAGCCCAGGGTGGAGGGAGCTGGGGGCTGCGGGTCGGGAGTGAGGGGCACTGGCAGGATGGGGGGCAGCCCAGGGAGGGGGGAGCTGGGGGCTGTGACTCAGTTGGAAATGGCCCCTGTTCTCCCCCTCGGGCCTCTCTGGCCGGAGTCCCCGTCGGGGTGGGCGTGGGGTGTCCCGTGGGCTGGTTCTCCCTCGTGCTGCCCCCTGACTCCCCACAGCGGTGGGGGGGGGGAATCCTGCTGGATTTTGGCAGCTCTCCCGGGAGCCCGGCTCGGTGCTCCCCGTCATGGACCCCGATCGCCAGGCGCCCCTGCCCCCTCTGCCCATCATTGTGGCCTCTGGGCACTGCGGCGATGCCTGTCTGCGGCTCTGCCCCGGGACAGCGGGGGGGGGGGCCTGGGGGGCCCTGGACAAGCACTGGGCCTCCATGGTCCCTCCGCTGCCAGGCTGGGGGCCCCGGGGCTGTTCTGGGGGTGCCGGCCGGAGGCTCCCTGGCTGGAAACTGGCTGGTTCCAGGCCCAGCCCCATAGACCGGGGGGGGTCTCTCCCCCCACACAGGAGTTCTACGCCGAGCGCTTCGGGGACGACCTGGTCGAGATCATCAAGGACTCGAACCCCGTGGACAAGGCCAAGCTGGACCCCAACAAGGTAAAGCTGGGGGCCTGGCTGGCCACTGCCTGGGTATACGGCAGTGCCTGGAGACCCCGGCCGAGATCGGGCCCCCTCCCTCCCCCACTGCCCCGGGTGCTGCTCAGATCAGCGCCCCCGTCACACCCTGGGTGCTGTGCAGACCCCAGCCGAGATTGGGGGTCCCCGTCGCCCCGGGTGCTGCGCAGACCCCAGCCCAGATTGGGGGTCTACGTCACGCCCCGGGTGCTGCGCAGACCCCAGCCCAGATTGGGGGTCC